ATCATTTCTGGTCTTCGATGAAAAATACATAGAACATGCTAGACGTCAGACGCGATGGGGGGGTGGGGGGGCGCTGGAGGGAGGGGGGTGGCGACCGTCGTGGGGTCGGGGGCTCCCAGGGAATAGTCTCGGGCCTCCCCCCCATCCAGTCTATGGCTCCCCCCCTCCCAAGGGTAGGACGCCCGGGGGCGGAGGAGGACAGACAGATGGACAGATAACGAACACAGGCTCCGAGGAAAGGAAGTGGGGTCGGGGGTTGCCTCGGAGCAGAAGGAAGATCTCGTGTTTTGGGGGGCTCAGGAGAGGCGGGGGAGGGGGAGGTAAATTAGGACAGCCCTGGTTGTGGGGTGGGGCCAGGATGGGGCCGATCTGGGGGGACAGGAAAGAAATTGTGCTGCTGGTGAGGACCGACCCTGGTCCTTAGGCCTCTGGCTCATATTCCTGATATTCTTCCTGCAGCAGGAGGAGGGGGGGCAGAGCAAAGAAGAGCAAAAGGGAGGTGGAGGGGGGGAAGGTGATGTTGGACACCCCCCCCCAAAGGCCAAGCTCCACCCCCCCTCTCCAGGAGGAACAATGCATGCTGCACCCCCTGTGTGTGTGTATGTGTGTGTGTAAACCTGCAGTCTATGACAGCACAGATATTCCTTAGGTCCCATCGGTCCTCCCCTCCCTTGCTCCCGCCTCTTGGAGGCGTGGCTTCTTGAAGAGGCTGGTCCAGAAGCCCCCTAAGCCCAGCCTGGTGCGAGTGCAGGGACCTCCCACCCCAGCCCAGGGCCTCACCTGCGGTGGTTCCTCATAGCTCTCCCCTTCGGGTTCTATCAGGGGTTCAATCAAAGGCTCCTCAGCAGCTTCCTGGCCCACTTCCTCTGGCTGTGGAGAGTGGACAGAGAAAGGCAGGGCCTGTTCAAGGGTGGCTCAGAGACACCCCTAAAATCCCAGGCTGCCAACTTCGGGCTTCTTGGAAGGAGATCGGTTATAAATCGTTTCTTAGGAAGCGTCTTAGAAGTAAGGTGAAGGACGAAGTCCCTGGAAGCATGGGAGTTGGAGCAGGTGCAGGGTGGATGGGTGGAGGATGCAGAGTTCCCAACGACACATCTACCCCTGTCTCCTTCCTGCCAGGCTTCCTGCCATGGACTTTAGGACCCCCTGGGAAAACCTGGGCAGCTTCCTCCCTCCGGGGCTGGAGAGAGATAGAGGCTCAGCCCAGGGCTGGACAGGGGCTCTGAGCCATTCTTTCCCCAGCCACCTTCCACCCATCCCTCCCCCAGGGCCCAGCCTGGCCTGCTTTCTTCCCCGTTGCTATTTTAAGATAAGCTGGAAGCAACAGCTCATGGTGTTGCTTGGATGTATGAGCTAAGTAAGACTCTCCCCTCCTCCACCCCTTGCATCTGCTGCCCAGATGGGCACCGAATGGCAGGCAGACATGGGGTGTATGTGTGGGGGAAAGGCGGGGGGGATGGCTAGACACATGGCGGGCCATCTGTGGGTGAGAACATGTATGTGCACACGCAGTTTAACCTACAGTAACCTGGCCCATATGTAGGATGGAATAGGCCATAGACCCTGAGGGGGGGGGTGTTAACACTGAGGTTGGCATTCCTCTGGCTTCTTCTATAACTTCATCTATAACTTCATCTGCCCACAGGAACCTGTTTAGCTGGCCCCTGTGTGCACAATGAGATCGACTTGGTTTATTCTCTGCATTGGAGAGATGACCCAGGAAACGGGGGGAAAGTTTGTTGACCCCCAAATCACACAACTAGGAAGGAAACAGTTTTAGAGATCCAAGCGTTGGAGACTCTGAGGTAGAGCACCTGACTAGCATGCCCTGGATATCCAGCAATCTTTTTCCACACACACACACAAAAGTAAATAAGTACATACAATAAAAAAGATTTCGGACGGACTGAGCAGCACATTTGTTTGGAAAGAATGTAAATGGCCGGGCACCCATGGCTCACACCTGTCATCCTAGCTACTCAGGAGGCTGAGATCTGAGGATCGAGGTTCAAATCCAGCTCAGATAGGAAGGTCTATGAGACTCTTATCTCCAGGCTCACAGGGGTCTCTGCAGGCAGGTGGATAAACACCCAGAACGCATGCTCATCCTCTAGCTCACTGCATACATCTAAGGATGAACACAGGCACCTACAGCAGGCGGCTGGGAAGGTGGCTCAGTGGTAGAGTGCTTGCCTTGCATGCATGAGGCCCTGGGTTCGATTCCTCAGCACCACATAAGCAGAAAAAGCTGGAAGTGGGGCTGGGGCTCAAGTGGTAGAGCACTCGCCTCGACCAAAAAGAAAAAAAATATGCTTAGGACCCCAGGACACTCTAACTCAGCACACCTGTGATCATGTGGTCCCCCAGGGACAGACATACTGCTCCCTAGATTCTGGGCTCCACAATCTCTAACTGGGAAATGGCTCATCCAAAACCCAGGCATATATATATATATATATGACACACACACATATCACTGGAACTGCAGTGATAGCATCACTTGCTAAGCAGCTGAGGCTAGTCTTGAATCCAAATCCTCCTGTCTCTGCCACCTGCGTGCGAGGATTACAGGCAGGCACTATCATGCCCAGCACACACTGCAGTATGGAGAATGTCTGAGGTATGTTATCTCTATTCTGCCTAAGAGTCCCACCATGTTTATCTTTCATGTTATAGGTTGTCAGGTTCAGAAACGTCACGGGACTCACCCAGGGTTACACAGCTAAGAAATAGTGGAATTAGGATTTGAATCTAGTTCTGTGGTGCTCAGGAGCTCATAGCTCTTTCTCTACCAGTTTTGGTTTTGTTGTTTTGGTCAGCCACGGGGCTTGAACTCTGGGCCTGGGTGCTGTCCCTCAGCTCTTCAGCTCGTGGCTAGCACTCTACCACTTGAGCCACACATCGCTTCCCATTTTCTGGTGGTTCATTGGAGATCAGAGTCTCACAGACTTTCCTGCCCGGCTGGCTTTGAACCGTGATCCTCAGATCTCTCCTGAGTAATGAGGATTATAGGCGTGAGCCACTGGCACCTGGCTTCTACCAGTTTTTTAAAGTGTGTGTGTGTGTGTCTGTCTGTTTGTGTATGCTAATACTGAGTCTTGAACTCCAATCCTGGGTGCTGTTACTTAATTTTTTTTCACTCAAGGCTGGTGTTCTACCACTTGAACCACAGCTCCACTTCCTACATCTCTTTTACTTCCTGCTTTTTACTGGTTCATTGGAGATAAGAATCTCATGGAGGGGCCGGGAAGGTGGCTTAGTGGTAGAGTGCTTGCCTAGCATACATGAAGCCCTGGGTTCGATTCCTCAGTACCACAGACACAGAAAAAGCCAGAAGTGGTGCTGAGGCTCAAGTGGTAGAGCACTAGCCTTGAGCAAAAGAAGCTCAGGCACAATGCCCAGGCCCTGAGTTCAAGCCCCAGGACTGGCAGTTAAAAAAAATTATAATAATCTCATGGATTTTCCTGCCTGGGCTGGCTTTGAACCTCTAACCTCCGATCTCAGCCTCCTGGGTAGCTCAGATGACAGGCATAAACTGCCAGCTTAGTGGCTTGCTTTATTTTTTTTTCTTCTTTACTATCTTTTTTTGCACGGAAGGAAAACCAATCACCGTAGGACCCGCAGCAACAATTCCCCATTCCGTGAGATGACAGGAACGCATAACCAGGGACACCCACGGACGGAGAAGCCAGATAGTGTGTGTCTCTCACGGGAGCATCTGCGCACAGCAGCGTCTGAGCTCCAGGCTGGCTGGGGCTGGAGGGGATGGACAGGGCAGCTGTGAGCCTGGGAGAATCGCTCACCTTCAGATCGGTGGGGAACTCCTCCTTCTTGACCAGACCTGTGGCTGCAGCGATGTTGCCAGCCCCGGAGAACACAGCACCTCCAAGGTGCGTTGCCTGCTCCTTGGTTTTCTCAGCCACTGGAGCCATAAAGGATGTAAGGTAGAGATCAGGAAGGGAGGGGGGGAGGAAACAGATGCCCCCTATATAGCATCCTAGGGCCTGCCCTCCCCAAGTGGACTTGGGACCTCTGGCTCCCAGTAAGTACAGGGTCAGGGCTGGATACCTGAGGCCACACCTTGTACCACGCCCTCTCGTGTCTTGCTTCCTGTGGGAGGAGAGAGAATGCTTTGAAGGAAGTCTAAGCTGAGAAAACAGATCCAAGCAGCCCTCTTCCCTCCCCTTTTCCCCCCCCTCCCTCCCCCCAGGCTCACAGGGGTCTCTGCAGGCAGGGGAAGGGGAGGGGCTGAGGGACACAGGTGGACTGCGGGTTTCCTGTCTGCATTACTCTTTCTTTGGGCTGCCTCCCCCCCCCAAACAACTCCAGCCCCATCCCAATCACCCTCAACCCCCACCCTTACTTTCTAGGCCTTCCAGATCTCCCCCTAACCTGACACCTCCCCCCACTCCTACTGGATGCTCGTAGAACCCCAGATGTGTGGCAAAGCACAAATTCTATGAGAAACAGAGCACCACAGGCGCGCACCTGTCATCCTAGCTACTCAGGAGGCTGAGATCTGAGGGTCACAGTTCAAAGCCAGCCAGGAGAAGGAAAACCCAATGAGGCTCTTATCTCTAATTAACCTTCTCCCCCCCCCAAAAAAAAGCTAGAAATTGAGTTGTGGTTCAAGTGGTAGAGTGCCAGGTTTGAGCAAAAATGCTAAGGGAGTGCCCAGGCCCTGAGTTCAAGCCTCAGTACCAACACACACACACACACACACACACACACACACACACACACACACATACACCCCAAAGTCCATAGGAACCTCTCCTCGCCACGGAAGTTCTGTAACAGTCAGCAGCCAGTAAGAGGCTGACTGACATTCAAATCAGGTTTCTTCATTCAAACTTCCTGCCTCCAAGCGCATTATGAGCCTGTGGCTGCCCAGCCTGAGAGACAGATTGGCCTATGGGTTTTGAAAGGTGCCCTCCTACAGCAGCAGCCTGTGCCCTGCTCAGTCCCGTGCCTTCTAGATTCTCTCTTCCTGCGTTTCCTCCCCAGAGTGGAGCATCTCAGATTGGATCTGTGGAGTTTTAAGGCCAAGATGCTATTGAGGATACACGTGTGACATCGGCTGGACCTGCCCTTACTGAAGTGGGAGATCACTGGGAAGGGCAAGATCTCCAAGTGAGGACAGACAGTGGTGGTTCACGCCTGAAATCCTAGCTACTTGGGAGACTGAGATCTGAGGATCATGGTTCAAAGCCAGCCCGGGGCAGGAAAGTCCATGAGACTCTTATCTCCAATGAACCACCAGAAAGAACGGAAGTGGTGCTGTGCCTCAAAGTGGTAGAGCGCTCGCTTTGAGCAAAAAAAAAGAGCTCAAGGACAGCGCTCAGGACCCGAGTTCAAGCCCCACCACCACCACCACCAACAACAAAAGAATGAGGAGTGGTTTGGGGTGAGGGTCCTCTAAGGTGTGGGGAAATCTCTCATGTGGAGGATTTAGTATTCCAGACAACCACTGATTCAGAAATAGGCCTCTGGGCAGGCAAAGGAGAGGCTAGAAAGGAGGTACAGTAAGAAGGCTGAGCATGTCCAGAGCTAAGCTAAGACCGGCCAGAAGGGGAAATGGGTTTGGGGTCCACCCATTTGTTCCTCCCATAACTGCTCATCTGTGTGTACTTTTGGCAAGGCCCTGGGCCAGTGGCTCACTCTGAAGAGGTAGGAGAGAGAGAGGCAGGCTCAGTTAGAGAGAGGACATCTCCCCTCCAAGGCTGTGTGGGGTGGGGTGGGGGTTGGAGGTGGGGGACACTGCCTGAATCGTATGACTTGGGGAGCAGATGGATACTCTGAAGGAGGCTCAGGGACCCAGGTAGGAGGGAGAGAGAGAGAGAGAGAGAGAGAGAGAGACCGTGGCTGGACCATTAGGGTACAGATGCCAGGCTGTGGGGAGCTAAGGGCTTAGGGTACATTCTAGAAAAGAGCCATGGCTCCAGGGCAGGAAAGGAACAAGAAGTGTTCATCTCAAGTAGAGGGTGGCGTGGCTGCGAAGAGGAGAATCTATTAGTGACAGTAGTGTGTGCAGGGTGAGGGATATGTGTGTATGTGCGGGTGTTCAACAGGAGGGAAAGGATTAGGGGAAGAGGCTAGGAGGTGCGGAGCTGGGCCAGGTAGGTAAGGCCAAACAGGTATGGTCTCCATCGTATGGGTCTCCTGGGGTGCACTAACCCCCCAGAGGCCCCTTCCTGACGCGGTCATTACCATAGTGCCAGCCCCTGGCTTGTAAAGGTCTTGCCCACCAATCTGATCTCATCTACAGTGTCTGCAGCTCTCCAGCAGCCCCTTCCCACCCATCCAGGGCCTTTCTGCCAACCCTCCCCCCCTCCCACCCCACTTCCCCATCCAGACTACCTAGCTCAGCTCGGCAGCCTTTTTCTTTCTTTATTTCCCCCCTTTATTTTTAAAGGAGGAACAATGCATGCTGCACCCCCTGTGTGTGTGTATGTATGTGTGCTGGGGTTGGAACTCTGGGCCTGGGTGCTGTCCCTTAGCTTTTTTTTTTTTTTCCACTCAAGGCTGATGCTCCACCACTCGAATCACACTTGTCCTTCCGGCTTTTTGGAGTTGATCATTGGAGCGTCCAGAGAC